ATAAATTTTTACAAGAATTATTATTATTTATATAAATGTAAAATGTATTATACACACATATATTTTAATTGATTATAATTTTATTAATTATAAATATATTTTGTTTGTAACATGTGCATGTAATCTATATCTTTGTGATATATATATCTGTATACATTACAAATACATGACTGTGATTATCTCTCTTATTAATATTAATATATTAACTCTCTGTCAGTCAAATTGAACTTTGAAGGTGCAATCGATATTTCGATTATCGTGAATTCTGATAGATAAATTTAAATGTATAAAAATAATTAAAATATAATTCGCGTTCTCTGATAAAAAAATTTGTTAAAATTTTTACAAGCAGACAAGAATTTTTTCCAATTTTTATACAATCCAGAACAATATAAAAAGTTGCACTAAAGATCAAAGGCGCAGACTGCTGACGAAAGATGCAAAATTCCATATAGTTGACAGAGAGTTGAATATCATTAATTACAATATTATATTTTATTATATTTTACATGCTGTAAAAGAATTTTTTTTGTTTTTTATTGAATTTTTTGTTATTGAACGCATTTATTTTCTTTTATGTCATAATGTTTATATAATCCCGTCGCAATGTGTTTGCATTAAATTTTATTGTGCAGTCATTGAGTGTCGATATTTTCTAAAAAAAGTTTTTTAAAAAAATTCCTTTTTTCTATCAATGGCATATTAGCGTTTTAAATTCAAGATTAAAGAAGATAGTAGCTTTAAAAATTTGCCATCATCTAACAATTAATTTTTCGGATAACGTGGAAAGGAATTTGAAGAAACGTTAACGTTGTAAATCTGCATTTCTTTCTATCGAAATTCGATTGACTTGTGATATATAATTTGGTTTCCTCCAAAGAGGGGATTTCTATTCCTGCATGAAGCCCTCCTATTTGAGTTTCTTTGTCGGTATTGTTTTTCTTGCCCAACTCAGCGGTTCCATCATTGATTCATCGTCCAGGTCGGAAATAAGTGCGATGAGAGTCCATCGGTGCGTGAGGTGTCGATGAGCGAGGGCGCGGCTGAGGCGGCTAACTGGGGCTGTGGCTTTCTGGAGACCTCGGCCAAGACGAATCACAATGTGGACGCCCTGTTTCGAGACCTGCTCACCCTCGAGAAGAATCGCTCGGTCTCGTTACAGCCGGTGCAGAGCAACAACGCGATAAGACTTAAGGAGAAATGTGCCGTTATGTAAAAATCCACGCTCCGATCTGCATCGCGTATATATCCGACGACGACGACGATGATGATGACGACGACGACGACGACGACGACGACGACGACGACGACGACGACGACGACGACGACGATGACGACGACGATAGGGGTATTTGCGATCACCCCGGCACGGCGAGACTCTCCGGGAATGATGGATCCGTGATCCGTGATCCGTTATCCTTCGAGACGGAACCTCGCCACTATCCGCCACTGAATAATATCCCAAAGCCGGTTTCGCCAACGACGGACGACTTGTTCGCGACTCGTATCCCTGATGGCGGCTTCCGCGCGTCTCCATCTCATCAAAAGGTTTACGGCGCGTCATACCTACTTGTTATGTTCGTACGAACGCGCGGGCCTAGAGAATATCTTTGCGAAACTTCGAATTTTGAAAAACTTTTAAGGATCCTAAGAGAGAATTTTTAGAATTTTCGATTCCGAGAACGTTTCTGGGCCTTGATGAGTCAATTAAGGGTGCGACCTGAGGAAGACAGGAGGCACTTTTAGTCGACGAATGCGAAAGAATTAACTCGAATTCATGTGTACGTTGCTCGTCGATGGTGAAGCCTTTTTATTTTTGAGTTACGATACTTTACGCAATAGACCACTCGATCGCGTATAATTTCTCCGTGCTCGATGGTGTGAAAAATTACTAGATCCCGTTTTTTGTTTTTGACTCCGTCATGGAATCGTCCGCGGTAATCTCGATCTGCGACAAGAGTTGGCAAAACAACGATATTAATTTTATCATCAAGAACAGTTGCACGTTTCGTTGCTATGAGAAGGCATAATTATAACAATAGCTATGTTCAGCAGAAAAAGCAGCTTTGTAACTTGTAAATTTCCTTAATATTATGATTGGTTTATATATTCAAATCCATTGAGAAAGTAAAGGAAAGAACCAATTATATTAAAGAAGCTTATAATAATTGCAATGTTGCTTTTTCTAGATATTGAACATAGCCAAGCTCACAAAACACATTGCAAACTGATCATTACTGATGCTTTCATTTCAAGACAAAAATTACTTTTTATAGGAAAAGTTTATTCCATGTTATTGTAAAAAAATCTGACTACTAGACATACTTTTTAAAAAATTTTTCTACAAATATCACATACCTACTTCTTATTTCAATAGCAATGATATAAATAAATAATAATAGTAACTGATAATGATATAAAAGTCGCGTTTCTTTTGCATACAGATAAGCAACGAATTGTCATAGAAGATAGACAGATACAAGACACGGTTTATCTGTAGATTTTTATCGCTTGCAATCGAGGCAATCCGCAACAAAGGGTGGCTATAAAAGTTCTCTTTCCATAGACTAATTTATCGGATCCCTTGAAACTATTATTCAGTAAATTTGTATCAATTGTGAAAAATATGCGAGATTCCGTAGAATATAACCTAATTCGCTAAACATTATAAAAACGGTAAAAAACCAAAGAAAAATAACAATTAAAAGTTTCAGTAAAATATATCGAATATAAAAATCAAGAATGAATTAAATGATGAGGGCTTTAAAATAGAATTTACTCGCAGGGCTATTAATTCAGTCTGGCCTTTTTTCGCGGACCGCCTCAATTTAGCTAACGTACTGAATCGATAATAGCCGTGACTGGTACTCTCTTCCATGAAAATTTCCGCAATGCTCCGCAATCGGAGACTACCGCACGACGACTAAGGACTGGTGTAATGCGCGCGCGTGAAAGTTTTTTGTGAGAATGACGAAAGGGAGAGAGAGAGAGAGAGAGAGAGAGAGAGAGAGAGAGAGAGAGAGAGAGTGAGTGAGTGAGTGAGTGAGTGAGTGCGAGATTGAATGAGAGAAAGAAAGACAGAGAAAGAAAGGCGATCAAAGAGTGAAAGTGCGAATGATGACGAATAACAAGTAGATAAGAGTTGTTACGAGATTGGTTTTTGTTGAATAGTTGTAAAAATTTTGTAATGACTATGCTAGCTAATTAGGATTACAAACGAGCAGCAAGCCACGACATAAATCCACACACACACACACACACACACACACACACACACACACACACACACACACACACACACACACACACACACACACACACACACACACACACAC